TTGATTTGGCTCACCAGCAGTTGACAGTTACTAGGCTGTAACCAGTCGTCCTCTGTAAAAACACAGTATTTCCACCTAGTCATTTCATCTATTGGCCCAATGACTATATAAGGGGCTGTAGTGATAGTCTTCACTCTCATGGTGCTGACATTGTCTCATGGGACATTAACGTCCCATGAGTCTTTGCTACTTGAATGTATGGCAGACTTTCTCCAACTATGCAGAGTAAAACAAAAGCGGGCCACCGCACTGGCTGCAGGTTTAATTGTTAAAAATAAAATACTTTATTTAAAAAGTATCTGTATTTCAAGTATTATATTACTGCATTTGGCCCGCAGCCCCGGATAGATTTTCATTTTGGCCCTCTTGGGGAAAAGGTTTGGGCACCCCTGCTCTAGATAGCTTTATCATGGGACATGGAGACTTTTTGTTTCAGCGGGCAACCACTCTAGAGCCCTGTAGTTTTGCATTGCTTTCAGGTTATCTAAACATGCTTTAAATTTATTGTTGTCATGAGGAATTTTTTATGAACCAGATTTTTTGGTGCCCCCCTGGTCAATTGATGCCATATTCACAGTGCGTGGTGTGCATGGGCAGAGCACCAGCACTGTTTATAGTCACTTATTCTGTGTTGTTTCAGTCTGTTAAACGTGTAGGTTTTGAGAAAGTTTCAGGTAGTAAAGCAAAGTTATGAATAAGTGATGCCACTATTACCTTTCACTTTTTGGATTTTTCACCCAGAGGGAATAAAATCTCAAAAGTCTTCCAAAAACCTTCCTGAGCTCCATCTTTGCTTTGATGTTCAACATGTAGCCCGCAGAGAGATCAAATGGACTCTGGGGTTTTACCTCTGAAAGTGACACCTTGAAATTTTAGAGTTCMGACAGATTTGCTTCTTCCCTCTCTTAATTTTTAACTGCCCATATGTGATCCAGTGAAAGAAAAATCTAGCCCTGATTTTTTTTTCTTGTTTACACAACATATGAGATAACTATCTGTTTTATGTTTGATAATTACTACATTTAGTACTTATTTTTTCTCTATCTCTGTGGTATTACTCACCTTTTATACCCATTTTCCCCCATTTCTACAAAGTGTACCCAAAAACCCCATAAGGTAAACACTTACGATTTTGCAAAAACATTCCATTAATTGCTACAAATTTATATATATAACAATGAATACATTTAAATCTCCAATATTTTTTTACCTTGTGTATGTTTACATGAAATGAATTCAGGTAACAGCAACTGCTAGTCACATTTTCAAAGTACCTAAGGTTTTGTAGCGAATATGAAAAAAAAAGACACCCAAAACAGTGAAGAAAAAAGAAAAGAGAGGGATAAATTGAAAGTGGACAGAAAGAACTGGGATGGAGAGAAAACATATGTTCTCAGTGTCCGGGATGCACCAGTAGAGCTGAAAATAAGGACTGGGACAGTTGCGCTGTACATTCATTTGAGAGGACACACTCGACTGTCTGTTCTCTAAAGAACTCCTTGTACAGAGATGAGGCCTGTTGGGAACTTTGCTATCATCTTGAAAGACCATCTCTGTCTCTTTCCCTATTGTGCTCATTCATTTTCTCATTCTCATGCTCTCCTGTCTCTCCCTACTTTTTTCAAACAGAGGGTGAGGTCATTAGGGAAAAAATGGTGATATCTTTAAAGGGCCTTCTGTGGCTCAGAGAACATCAGTGGCAAAACCCACAGGACCAAAGTGACGAATAAGTGGCCACAGAGCACAGAGGGATAGAAGGATTTAAGTGGGTTACAAGTATGTGTGCACATTCATGTTTATGTGTCTGTGTCTGTTGTGCAGATATTAAGCATGAGCTACAACACATGCAGGGGCACATTTTGGAATTAAATAGGTTCAATGAAGGTTGCCATGTCATGAACAAAAGGTGCTCCCACTTTCATACTTGATTAGATATAGTTAAGGTCAGAATGAAAATCTTTTGCCAGCGGGCATGAATAGATTTGTCGAGAATAAGAAAGCAGCTGTAAAGAGGCCAGCCTTATGCTGTGTAATATATCCTTGTACTGTTATGCTGAACAGGCGAAGGAAAACGGTCAAGTAAAAACTTCTGGGAGTCACAGCATGTCAAAACAGTTTGATTCAGTTCCACATTAATTATTGTGGTTTGTAGAAATATTAGTAGTAAAGTGTCCAATACTTGGGAACACTTTTTTTTTGATAAAAGCACATGTATTTCCCCAATATTTTAACTAAATAATAAAAATGAGAAAAAAAATTAACCTTAATATTCTAAACAAATGTAAAGCTCTAGTTACGTCAACTTTTGCTGTTATTTCAAAATATGTCCTATTAAAAGTAAATAAATATTATGTGTATTCCAACACCAGCAAAAAATAAATAAATAAATAAATAAATAAATAAATAAATAAATAAATAAATAAATAAATAAATAAATAAATAATCAACTGTTGCTCAGGGTTGATTTAATCACAACATTTATTATACTGACACCTAGGTAGTGGCACCAGCATTTCCAGAAGGGCCACATTAGCAACAAGTCAATAGTCATCCAATATAAGCAGCATGGTAAGGCTCCCTAGTTACTTTTAGAGGATATAGGGCATTCAGTATTCAGAAAAAAATGCTTTAATGTCTGAAAGATTGATGTTCAGTCTGGAGAAAGCAATGCTAAACAATTCCACTGCAGAGATCCCATTGGAGATCAATGCATACAACACATTAATTGTGTTAATTGACTGCAATGAGAGAAATAGAGCTCCATTATTACTATGAGGAGTAAATCAACACAGAATCAGGAAACTATTACACTGGTCTGAGGTCAAACCTTTTAGGTGTGCTATGCTTCTGTCCTCCTATCTTTAAAATATGTCCCAGTTAGTGTTTTCCATTAGGCGGCAAAGCACTGAAATCCGTCATTCATGAGCGATTCAAAATGGAAAGTGTTGAAAATCTTCCACCCAGCGGTGTTCTCACCTGCATGACTCAAATGGTGTTTTTTGCATTGCACGTTTTGCCTCAACTCAAGCAAACTCTCACACTTCCTTTTCCCAAACAGTTGGTGGTTTGAGGTACAGTTTGTACCTCCACCTAAGACAGGTTTCCAAACAAGCTGAGCTGAAGCTCACAAGGTGACGTGAAAACACATCAGACCCAGTGTTTTTTTGGAGTTGTCACCTGCCAGTGTACCAACAGCATCTGCTGAAGTGCTAAACTCCTGCACAAACAGGCACTTTACTTTTATGTGTCCTCGGGAGAACGTGGTTGTGAATCTCAACACACAGTTTATACATTTGAGAGGATGGGTTAATATTCCATAGACATGCTTTAGAAACTGCAGGAGTCATTTTACTTTCACCATTCTCATTCTTCACAGTTTTTTTTCCCGAAAATATGCCTCTAATTCAGTTATTTGCAAACCCCAATAGTGCAAAGGCAACTTTACACAGGTGCAAAAGTTTGTTGACCTCTCCTGTTCATAGTTGTGTAAAAACTGCAATCAAATCTTGCAACCAAGCTGTCAGAAAAGTCTGGCTAAGAAAAGATACAACGTGCAAAACAAAAATCAAACCTCATGCATAAACATGTTTACATGCTGTGAGCAGGTCTGAAGCCTCACCCAGAAACCCTAGAAACAGCTAAACTGCATTGTGAAGAGGGAAGCCATGAATTACTGCAAGTGCCACACCATAAAAGGGACATAAGATGTTTCTAGTCTAATGTTAGAGTTAATGGTCTGGAAAGAGAGGGAGAGAGAAAGAGAAGGGAGGGTAAAGGAGAAATCATACACGCAAGCAGGCAAACTGAAATGACACTGGAACAAAGCTGCATGTGTTTTGTCTGTTTCTCTGTGATAGGGAGTCTGCATAGAGATACATGTGTCAGCCCATCATCAGGTATGTTTGGCAAAGAGGAGTGCAAAGAGAGTAAGCTGCTTTCACTTTAATATATTGACAATTTTTCTGATCATGCTCACTAAAAAATACCAAAATGCAGACAAAGAGAAAAAAACTTATTTTCTCACCAAAATCAGAATCATAGAAAAGGACAAACTTCTGCCAGCTGTACTCAGTCACCACTTGCATGATGACCTCATTGAGATAAACAGGTGGGCGGACCATCAGGGTGTAGTCATCTGCTCCGGGAATACGACTGGTGGGTGGGCAGGCAGAACGGGGTGTTCCCAATGGAGAGCGCTGAATAAAGAGGTGGGGGATGTGCATGGCATCAGCCAAGGTTTGAAGGCTGCCCGCCGACATGCAGCCAATTGAGCTAACAAGTGCCAGGATGCCTCGATTCATCAGCTCACAGGCTAGATGGAGYGGGGAAGAGAAAGAAAACAGAACAGTAGGTTTGTTACACTTTTCAGTCCTCTTTTATAGCAAGGTGTGTCATGTTTTTTGCTTTTGGTAAACATTCGGTATGAAAATACACTAAGCCAAAATACACATTACATATATATATATATTAGGGGTACAACAATACATGTACCCATATCGAATCGTACCGAGCCGTATCGAACAGTGCTGTATCGAAAAATACAGATTTAAAAAATTTATTTTATCAACTTGTCTTCTGAAGATGCTCTGTGTTAAAG